AATCTAATGGAAAATTTACACAGGTTAAGAAGGAAATTGTTCTTGATACAATTGACCTAAGAAGGTTGTCCTACACTTGGTTCAATGGAACTTTCACACCTACTGGTGGAAGTACAGCTTGCTATGTATTCAAGGGTAATAGTATGTTCTATTTAGGAAACCAGGCTGAGTTGGTAGATAACACTCTAGCTTGGTGTGTCATAGTTAAACCTGAACACTCAATGCCCACTGGTATGAGTATGGATATGTCATTCTGCTGGTCACTTCGATATTCGGGGTCAGGTAGTTAACATGTGGTTTATCATAAGATAAAATGTCAAGGTGGAGGTCATGCTTCTCCTGCTTAGGTAAGATTTGTGGATGTCGTAAGAGTTCTAAGAATGGGAAGACTGGTGATATAAATTTCTCTGTATCCAATAATATCAACATTGGAGTAAGTACACAAAACAAAAAGGATGATTTAGAATTTAGACCAAGATCTGAAAATTACGGTCACCTAAAAATGCTTGAGGAAAAGTCGGATGTTAAATAATGTAAAAATGGTCTAGAAAAAATAGTCGTTGAAGATGGACGGAGAAAGTGGTCTAGAAAAATTTGACTAGAATACTGCAGGATTTTTGTTGATTTAAGACGAAAATAAAAAAGTGAGGATAGAGCCTAGATCAGTTAGTGGTCTAGAACCCTCATTCCCTATACTACTCAAATAGCAACGTAAAAGATTTAATGCTTTCCTTTGGAAACCATACATTTCAAACTTACTTAACAGTATTTCGTGGTCGACTGTATCGAATGCCTTTTTTAGGTCAAGAAAAACCACTAAGTTATACAGCCCACGGTCCATGTTGGTATACCATTCGTTCGTACAATCCAATAATGTAGTAGTTGTGGAATGATAAGGTCTGAAACCAAATTGGTGTTTTGAGAAAAGATTATTCTGGTTAAGATACTCATACATTTGATCATACATAATTCTTTCCATAAGTTTACTTACTACCGGAAGGATTGATATCGGTCTATAGTTGTCCAACATGGACCGCTGACCTTTCTTAAACAATGGAATAACCCTTGCAGCTTTCCAATCAGAAGGAAATTGTTCCGAGTCAATTGACATATTAAAAATCTCAGTAAGAGAAGGTGCAATAACTGGAGCTGCTACTTGTAGAATTTTAGCCGAAATTTTATCCATTCCAGTCGCTTTGGTGGTAGACAAATTAACTAGAAGAATGTAAACCAATGTTACACTCACTGGTCGAAATGAGAAACTGTTCTTTGTCTTAGATTTTTGTTGAGTAATAAAATCTCGAAAACTAACGTCATTGTCATTTGGAATAGACTATTTAGGATCCTGTTTATTATTTGTGAATTTGTTTGCATAATAATCTCTTTTAGCCCTGCGCAAAGCAGTGTTGGCAACATTTCTAGATGACTTATATAGTCTCCAGTCTTCTTCTTTATTTTTCTTTATTGCTTTACGCTTAAGAGCATCTCTTTTAAATAATTTTTCCTTTACTTCCCGGCTTACCCAAGGAATATTGCCCCCTTTTCTTAATCTTTTTACTCTCACAGGGGCATGTTTATCCAACACATCTACAAAAAATGTTTTCCATAACCGCCACATTTCATCTACATTTCATCTGCATGAGAAAAAGAGGAGACATGCATGATTCGTGATCAGGTACGCATTCTATATCTATTATTTCTATGGTTTTGATGTGCTTTCGTGTACTTTTCAGTGTTTCCAAGCTCACGATATTGTAAGAGCGACCAAATTTGTTTATATTCATACTTTTTGTGACTAGAACGTATTATCATGGGCTGGAAAATATTCAAACGTGCACGGAGGCACATCAAAACATGACAGTTGCGCCAAAAATAGCTTAAGGCTATTCAATGTGACACGTCACATGAGCGGTGAAACATTTCTGTTTCCAACGGTAAACGCCCCGTTTCAAACGTAAACAAACGCGCGAAAATGTTTGCGGTTTGTGCTTGGACGAAAATTGCTGTATTACTAACGCTTACGTTTTGTGGCAAACGGGAAATTGATGCCCCAACACGCGATTGGGCTGTCAATTTCCCATGCGTAATACAAAACGACTGAAACACGGCAAATTTCGCAAGGCTATATTATCCGCATTTTATAACATTTCGCAACGAAACTTTGGAATATTACTAATTTTGTGATGCCCTTTCAAGCTGGGATGAAATTTTTGTCTAGATAAAAATTTTAATTTGTCAATTTTAATTTGTCAATTTCCCGTTTGTAATTTAAAATGACTGAAAATTGCAAACTTCGCAAGGCTATATTATTATTACATTTCGCAACGAAACTTTGGAATATTACTAATTTCGTGATGCTCTTTCAAGCTGTGATGAAATTTTTGTCTAGATCATAATTTAGTCTATTACGCAAGTGGTCAATTGACCATCCAAGTAATATGAGTTAAATTTGACCGCCCACAATTCGAAACAAAATTGAGAGAAAAATTTTGAAACCCAAATTTTTCCTTCCAAGAGGAAATCCAGCTTTAATTAATAGACAAATATAATATGTCCATGCAGTTCATTGACTATGAACCTGGCGTGTGTTCATAGTCAATGAACGGCTAAAGTTAGCATATCAGGTAGACCTATAATTAACACAAATTCCTCATTAATAGCTCAATTTATTTCAAGGTAGTCTAAGGTACCATAGGGTAGGCTAAGGTAGTCTAAGGTACCCTAAGGTAGGCTAAAGTAGGCAAAGGTACGCTAAGGTACTCTAAGGTAGTCTAAGGTAGCCTAAGGTACCATAAGGTAGGCTAAGGTAGTCTAAGGTACCCTAAGGTACCTTAAGGTAGGCTAAGGTAGTCTAAGGTACACTAAGGTAGTCCAAGGTACCCTAAGGTAGGCAAAGGTAGGCTACGGTACCCTAAGGTAGTCTAAGGTACCCTAAGTAGTCTAAGGTAGTCTAAGGTACCCTTATAAGGTAGGCTAAAGTAGGCAAAGGTACGCTAAGGTACCCTGAGGTAGGCTAAGGTAGTCTAAGGTACCCTAAGGTAGTCTAAGGTACCCTAAGGTAGGCTAAGGTGGGCTAAGGTACCCTTAGGTAGGCTAAGGTACCCTAAGGTAGGCTAAGGTACGCTAAGGTACATTAAGGTATGCGATGTGTAAAGTACTGTATGCCTATTTCGGTTGCTCATATACCGAGAAAGCGCCTGAAAATCGGTACTCATGCATGACTGTTTAGAATGCAGAAAAGGTTTAAATGTTGACCAGGATACTCTGGGGTTCCTTGCTCCCTTGTGGGCTTTGTTTTTGAAATAATTTTTAATACAACGGCGGCGTAAGCTGACAGCATAATTTCTTTGCATACGATACTTTTCCCAATCCTCAGATGATTTTGATTTTAGGAATTTTTTGTGAAGACGATTACGCGTCATAATCGATTTCAGAAGCACCTTTGTCATAAAGGGCACTTGATTGCCACGAATAATAGTACATAGTATCAATGGAACGTGGCGTTCACTTGAATCGGTAAGAAGTTTGTTCCACGCCCAATTTACATCATCAGGATCGTCAAAGACTGTGGCTATGTGAAAAGGAATTGCCCTTAAATCAGCGTTAAATTCTTCTCCATTAAAATATTTATAACTGCGGTATTTGATAACTTTCGGTTTCGGTCTAGGCAATTTTGCTTTCATCACAGAGAATATAAGATAATGGTCACTTATATGAGTATCAATCGTTCCCGATGTCAAAAAATGTTGGGGAATTGTTGTAAGAATGACATCAATTAATGTGCTTGTTACATTTGTTACTTTTGTTGGCTCTTTTATAATACAATCCATGTCATAGATATCACAAATGTCCTTAAGTTCCAGCGTATCAGGGTTTACATTGTTGCTTTGACTCATTAGATCACAATCTAGGTCCCCGATAATTATTATATTAGGATAATCTAAAGCAGTGGTATCTAGTATACTTTGAATTTCATGTGACCAAGTTGACTTGGTAGACTAGGTGGTCTGTAGGCAGCAATGAGTAGATAACACTTCTTATTGAAATAAACCTTAAAGGTAGGTTACAGTCCCTTCTGCGCATGCGCGGACTTTGTTTACGTTTTTTGTTTTGATCCATATTAATTATATAAGATGAAGTATATGACGAGTTCAAAGTAACATTCCACATAATTTGTGACCGAGGAGTGCAATGTTTGACAATACTTCGCTTCATTTCTTGTACATTTCTACACTGGAAATTTTTGTACACAATGACACAATCTTATACTGTAACTGTTTAACTGTAAACATCGTGAATAAAGAGGCCGCTTTGAACGTTGGGTGACTTGCTATATCAACAGCTGGGGCGGCGAACCGAAATCCCGAAGGTGTGAGTTCGAATAATTTGTGTTTACTTTTGGAGTGTCTCATCATGAAAATATTTAATGCAGTATCAATCCCTCCAAACATGTTGCCAATGTTGTTGTTGTCATTATGACAGAATCGCTTGGCCTTGGGGAAAGCTTTTCGCTTGACGGAATTCGAAACAAGTGTGATTGAGAATGTAGTTGCAGTTCCTGTCTTCGCCGTGGCAAAGCCAAGGCAAAGGCGAACTTTTTGACCGTGCAAAAGCTGGATAAACAGCTTTTGTTCAAGCTCGTACGCGCTATGGATATGATTTCGTTATAAACAACAAAAGAGTTCAATAGATTGACAGTGACGAGAGTACGAGACGCTAAGATTATATTCAACTTTTTTGTGTTATAAGTATGTATGTTTTGAAATTATGACCTGGAAGTATTAATTCATTGATATTACTCTCATATTAACACTAAATGATGTATTCTTGTGACACTGAATGATCTAATAGTAATATTAACTTAAACAATTCTGGTCAATCTAGTGAGCACGTTAGTTCATCATGTCTCTTCAAGACAGAGGACAATTGCTAATATGCTTGTTTCGCTGTATATCAGAGCTTATCAGAATTCTCAGGAAACACCGATGAAATTTTTGTTTATATCAACGAATCAGTCTTTCTTTTTCTTAACAGATTTATTGGGTTATATGATAACACAAATAATTTATGAACAATTATTAATAAAACACATATATCCAAGGGGATAGGCATGAATATGACTCAAGGGCTTGCATGTGCCCCCCCTGAAAATACTGAATATACTAAATATAATTACAGTTTGTGACATGAATTCAGGTAAGCACCATTCACATAAGAACCTGTTTAAAGGCTAACTTGGAAAAAATCTAGGTTCTTATTATATGCAGGGTTTTACTGTGTTGTCTGATTTCATGTCAGAAAACAGGCCATGGGCATGGCAGCTTGTTCTGACAATATATATATATGGGATGGTGCCACTCTTAACTTTCTGACACAAGATCAGGCAATCATAGTACAATATGAACTGGCTTGTGTTCCAGATTGCTTTGTGTATGAGGCAATCCATGTAGTGGACAATACATGTATTCACTACATGATCATTAGAGCTTGGAAATTAGGTTAAATTCTTAAAGAAAAGCGACTCATTTTTGGTATGTGAGGTATAATTTACATGCATATACATATATATAAATTGTGCACAAATTATCTAACTAATAGCTATGTGTAAAGCTATACTGTAAAGCTGCTAACACTTTATTTATCTCAATGACATTTTCAGTGTTCTGGATCATTTTCATTACTTTGTGAAGAGTTTATTTTCTTTGATTTATATACATTTTTAGATTTGGTTTGTCTTCATGTGATAAAATAAGAACCTGAAATGCTAGCCTAAACAAATTCTTATTTAGGGTGTCTAAATAAAAAAAATTAGCCTGACAGGTTCTTAAAATGTAGGTTCTTATATGCAAGCTTTCAGTCACAATTAGGGTGAAAAATATACTAGTCATTATTAATTGAGTTTGTTTACATCATATAAGTTTCTGTGATCAAAATGTTTTATAAACTAAATTAAAGCCAGGTTACCTGAGCTAATTTAATTTAATTTTTAAACGTCAATTTTTAAACCTTACACCAAAGTGTGTTTAGTTCATCGAACTACAAATCAAATTTTATAATCGCTGACTTTTTAACAACTATCAGCACCAAAAAATTGTTACTTTTACTGAATTAACGTCGGCAAAAATTTGCCGGCCTGGGAGGTTGATAGGTTGGCATTTAGGTCCGCATTGCCGAATGCCGACCTCGTTTTCGAGGGCTGTAAGCTGCTTTGATTAAAATATACTTTGATCAGAGAAACTTTTTATGTATTTCTATTAAATGAGCACAAGTTGTCCATGATATGAGAAGACAGTCAAAGACAGTAACGCATGGTCAAGTAGATTAATTTATATCATTTATCAGTAGTAATATAGGGGCCGTTCGACCCGGATTTTTGCGGCGGTGGAGTGCGGCGGTGGAGTGTGGTGGAGGAGTGAGGAGGAGGAGTGAGGAGGAATGAGGGTGCGTAATGACGTCACTCATTAACTTACGTCATAATTATATGCAATGACGTCACGCGGGCGAGCTTAAACACGATCGGAGGAAACTTGCTGACTACGCATTTTTTAGCGTCCCTTCACGTGTGTGATACAATAGTTAGGTATATATAGAAGAGAACATGTTGTTGTCTGGAGTTTTATAAGTACAGCTCTAGCATTTTGCTGTTATTGTCAAAACGCTGAGAAATAGCATTAGTGTTATATATCTAAAACTTATATATTCTGGGTATACAGCTATATGTTTTGTTGTTAAGTAATATATAAATATTATCAAGCGTCAAAACGCTGAGAAATAGCATGCAGTAAAGAGTTATGTATCTACAATTAAACTAATATTTAAATCCCGGTCTGCCATATGAGGTCTATATACGAGAGAATATGTTGCTGTTTAGAGTGATATAAACACATGGAAGTTAGAGGTCATGATATATAATTGTCAAGCTAAAACTCGGATAAGGTTAATAAATTTAAGTTATATTAAAGCACACCGGTTGCTATGCGTTGTTAGGGTGAAACTAATTAAAGGATTAACTTTTATCAGTGATTTGCATTTTTCCACTGTGTGGATAAATACGGGTAGATTAGGATATTCATTGCGCGGGCGTCGCGGGTTATCCGTGCGGGAAGAGAGAAAGCGATTTAGACAAGACAGGAGCGCTTTGCAGCCAAAAACTTGAAAGACTTTGTGTGAAATCCTGTAATGGTTGTCAAGTCGGTCATCCTAGTCAAAGACAACATAACCGCCTCATGATGAATGAAAACGAACGTGGGCAAATAAGGAATCTATTCGTCACAAAAATCATATTTTAAACATATTTTAGATATATTTTAAACTAAACAGTTTCTAATCCCGAGTTGTCAACGTCGTTGTTAAGGTCAATATTTACATGTTGTTCAACGTTATTTATATTCTACATACATATATACTGTTAAGATGATCATAAGTAAGCTTATCAAGAATATAAGTTAGAATTGGAACAGTTGTAATATATTTTGCAATAAAAACATGTAATCGTTGTATACGTTGTTATTTGTTGCTAAGTCATTAGCGACGCTTGCGTGCATGCATATATCAACGTACAACATATTTGTACACTAATCAGGCGGGCGGATCGCGCGGGCGGAAAGAGCGGGCTTTGCCGGCAAAAATTTACACAATATTTCAGTTTTTAAATTTATTTCTTCAAAACGTTTTACAAAATTATGTTTCTAATATATATCGTCACTTGTTTCAGGGGTTTCGCTGTCAGATTCTTCATCATAGCTGCTTTCATCATCGTGGCTGCTTTCATCTTCCGTAATCCATTTGGTATGTCTTGGGACTGTTATATGAGAACACAGTTTTAACCTCTTTGTAGTTGACAAATTACTTCGTTGGCCCTGCCTTCTCTTGCTTCCGCGCCCTGCTTGTTGTAGTAGGGCTTTTGCTCCTTTTTCGGCAAAGTCTTTAAAAACGTCACCTCCGTGAGTCTTTACAGATTCTTTTACATTTTTTCCTTGGAGTACATCTTGACCCACTTCTGTGGCTGCTTGCAATGCTCTTTTGCCAACAACTTTAGCGCCTTGTTTGAACAGAGGGATAGCATATCTCGCAAGGCTCTTGAAAATACTTCCGATCCCGTATCCTCTTTGAAAACGTGCATCACGATACCCAGCGATGTTTCCGCCACGCTGCTGTCTCAAGAAATGGTCTCTCAGTAGTTTTTCGTCTACAACAAGTGTACCTCTTGGCATGTTGATGTGTTCAGTTCAACTTCACGCAGTCAACTAATCAAATATCACTTTGGTCGCCTATTTTATGGTTAAAGGACTGCCTTTCATCCGTTCTGATATCTATAATTTCACCTCGGCGACAATGTGGGCAGCCGGTGATTATATGTGTAAAATCTCCTTTGGACACTTGAAAATCACAGATCATACAGCGACAGTTTTTACAATTCGGATAAAAATCTGTCCATGTGCACACGGGGCACGTACTCAAATGGGAGATGTATATATCTTTGTTACAACTGTTACAAGTTGCGTCAGCATCAGATTGTGTATCCTGACGCGACCACTTGTGGGCTAACACAGAAAGGACATGTCCATTTAAGATTAGGCTTTTATCAATTTCCAATTCTGCAAGACCTTTTATAAAAATACTCAATCCAGTTGGTTCGGGAATATTTGGATGATAAGGCGTCACGCAATATTTCAGAAGGTCTACAATGTCAGTGCCTCTTTTATTATGTCCTCTGTAAACGATTTCTCCTTTTCCATTCCAAGTCAAAATCCCCGTAGAGGTTAAAATAGAATGAAGGATTTCTTCGGCTTCGTGTTCATCATCAACGTCAAGATATTTGAGAATGTCTTCAAGTCTCCACTGTTCAGGAGATGATCGTTTGCCGCTATCCATGATTGGAATGAGGAGATGTTCT